CAGCCTCAGGAGTCAAATCGAACAAGTCTTCAAACACTGGTTCCAATGGTTCTCTGCTGATGCCGATATGGAGACTGATAATGCCGGCTGTATCATGGTATCTCAGGCTCGAAAGAAATGATAGCATATTTAGGAACGCAAAGCAGTGGGGAAGCGACTTTGAAGGAAAGAATTCGAGTTAAAATTATATCATGGGAAAATGAAGGCCTGACTTCAGCAACAAATTTTGAAACCCATTTCAAAGATCTTGGAAAATCATATATGCCAAGGCAAAACAAATCGGTTACGTGGATTCCTCCTCTAGAGGGCACAGTGAAAGTTGAATTTCAATTGAGGCTCTCTCAGAAATCCAGGCTCTCTAAGTATTAGAGGTCGCTTAAGGAGTCATCAAGGTAAGACTTTACTGATCTATTCTGGCCTATCCTTTGCATGCAGATCAAATGAAGCTGACAGGTCACTACTGTAGGAATTACTAATACTGGGTTCTAAATTGGCCACATGAAGATAGGAAGGAGACTCCAGCAACATTGTACCTGGGGCAACGGTTGACAGTGTTTCCATTGGAAAGGGCAGAATCTCTTACAAGAAATTTTGACCTCATCAAAATTTCAAAACTCGGAGGAGGCCAAATCCGAAGCTGACTTGTCTAAAGATGGGATATGTTATCCAAGGTATTCTATAGTGACCTTTTGATTTCAACCTCAATCTGTATACGCATTTTGTAAAGATTAGTCATTTCTACAGTCCCACACATAGAGGCTCAATTTTGTTAACAAAAATAGCACTCACAACCTTGTACAGTAATTTTGATCAAAGAAATTCAGTTAACAATTAAAAAAGAAAGAAAAACCTTCGGTGGAACATCCATTCTTTACTTATTAAGTAGATACAAAAGGAGTGAACTAGCAGAGTGACAGGCCATCATCAATCAGTGCTTAAGTAAAGACAATGGCAGAGCCTCTGATTTCTTCAAAAACAAATTCAATTGAAAGGAGTAATCAGTGCTTAAGTAAAGACAATGGCAGAGCCTCTGATTTCTTCAAAAACAAATTCAATTGAAAGGAGTCCAAGTTCAAAGGCATGCCAGCATATGAAGAAGGTAGAATGTGCATCCCTGTTAGTGTCCATTTCATTCTATCGTACTGCCCTTAAGACCGGACCGGCCGGCTGGCTCGGACCAGGAACCGCTGAACTGGTGGCCATTTTGGTCAGTTCAAGCCCACAGAACTGGAGAACGGCACCCAAATGGACCAGCTGGTTCAATCAATCCATATTGAACCGGAGAGTATCGACGTGTTTTTTTTCTTCTGTTTTTGAAGAATTATGGATGTTTTAGTCTTTTTTATTATTCAATAGGATTCAAGGGTTTAAATTTTTGTTTGTTTTTTTTTTAGAGAGAGCAAATTTGGCGATTTTGCGCTCTCTACCCAAAAACCTCCAAATCCATCTTTCAGAGAGGATTCCAGTCATCAATCTGCCTTACTTCAAGCCCTAAGTGAGTTAATTACACCCTTTATTTGATTCATTTCTTGTATATTTAAAAAAAAATTGAATTTTAGGGTGTAGGCAAAAAATAATATTAAAAAAAAAATCAATGCAATCGGTTGTCTCTGTATTCAGTTTAATGATTTTTTTAACTTTAATAGTTAGTTTAATGTTGTAGGTTTTTCTTTATTTGGTGACCTTATGTGCATCTTTTTTGTACATAAGTATTAGGTGTTTTTTGGCTTTTTTCTTTCATTTTTTTTTTGTATATATTTGGTTCTTTAACATTTGAATGACACTATGAACAATGTTGATTGATGAAAATCATTCCATATTGTGGATTTTGTGTATTTTTGGTTTTCATTTTCAAGTTTTTATTTCGTTTTTTTTTTTTTGACCACAGCAACCACTGAATTGATATTTTCGACCGAACCAGTGGCCTCACCGGTTCAACTTCCAGTCTGGATTGACAACATTGGTTGTTGTCATGTGTCTTACATGAAACTTAAAAAACAATCATGCAGTAGTCAACTACCAAACCAACTGAACAACAACGAGCCCTGTTTTATTTACAGAAAAAGATGTAGAACCCCTCCCCCAAAAACAATGTGTACCATTTAAACCCTCAGGCACACAGAAAGCTTGTGGAGCCCCCCTAACTTTCGTTTATCAGATATGAACCCCATCCCCACATTTTTGTGCGTATAGTTTATTATATAGTCCCTAGTCTTTTGTTTGATTTCATGTCTCTGTCTACCCCCTTCACTCCCTCGTGCTCTACCCCTCGCTTCATGATCTCTCTTGCCCAACTTCCATGCTAGTCTCTACCCCTTCACACACTCTCTCTACCTTTCTTTCACAGACTTTCTCCACCGACTCCGTCATGCTGTCGACATCCTTTCAGAATCATGAACCAGCACGCTCTCTCTCTCTCTCTCAAACCTTTTCCCTAAAACCACCCATTTCCTCTCTCTTTCGGATGTTGTTTGAGGAATGGATAAGAAATTCTTTATCAGAAATGGGATGTTGTTTGAGAAATAGTCAATATTCTCAAATCCTTACCCCAAAACCAGGGCCACTTCTAGAAATTCTTGATGAAATTCTTGCTCCCTTTGGTTGAACATGGTTTGCTTCAAATGAAGAGCTCAAAGAGCTGAACGTTGGCTGAACCAATAATTATAATAACCTAGAAACATTGAATACCTCTTCCGAATTTTTCCACCAGCCAATTTCGCTAACAATTCACAGGGTTAAAAAAATTATCCTTTGATTCACATTCTTTGCATCCTGCTCAATTTTATGGACATTTGACTAAAGTTGTGAATACATTATGTACCAATTTGGTGGAACATTATACTTTTTAGTAGTTCATATATGTTTCTAAGCATGCATTCCATGAACAGGCTGCTGGACCAGTGGCCAGTGCCTTGACAATCATGAAGGCTATCCCTACTATATGAAACAGAAATGGTAGAGGAGAGAGCAGAGAGAGAGAGAAAGGAAGTTGAGAAAATGGGTGGGTTCAGGAGAAATATTTGAGAGAGAGACAGAGACATGGTTCATGAAACCAAAAGGTAGAGAGAGCATGAAGGGGTAAAGAGAAAGAGAGTGGAGGAAAGGCTAAAGAGAGAACATGAAGCGTGGAGGAAGGGATAAAGAGAGAGCATGGATGTTCAGGTAGAGAGACAGAGACAGAGACAGAGACAGAGAGAGAGAGAGAGAGAGAGAGAGAGAAACAAGGGATTGAGAGAAAGCATGAGATAAGGGGTAGAGAGGGGGTTTTTGAAACATTCGGATTTGTATGGTTTTTTTATTTTTGGACAAAGTGGGAATCAAACAAAAAACTAGAGGCAGTATAGTAAGTTGTATAGGCAGAAACATGGGGAGGGGGATCCATACGCGATAAAAGAAAGTTGGAGGGGGTCCATGAGCTCTCCATGGAACATGGAAGTGAGGATCTAAATTATATTTGTTGGAGCTAGGAGCAGGATTGGTTCAAGGAGCGCTGAACCGCCATAGGGTGGAAGCTCCCCTGGGGTTAGGATTCGTGCTCATGGTTTTGTAAACATTAAACAAGTTAAGGAGCTAGATCCTGGGATACCTGGAAGCGAGATCCCATGTCACTGAGGTCGAGGTTTTGATTTGGGGGGATCCAAGCTCCACTATACATAAAACGAGATCAGTTAATAGTATATGACAAAATTAGGACAGAGCCAATGCCCACTCAATCCATTGTTATACACCTTAGCTTATTAGCAATGTCATAGTTATGGTACTTCAATTTACTACAATAACACAAATTAATAATATCAGAAATTGGCTTACTATGATATTAAACTGAAGTTTTTTAATACCATAATTCTAATATATCATGACGTGATATGCACCACAATTTAACATATTCTAAAAAATAAAACTATAATACCAAGGAGACGACCAGTAGTTCAATTAATAGTATGGCTCCTCTCCTTGGAGGGATCCTACAAGCACGTAAACCAAGATCCTAAGAGCGAGATTCCTATTTCTCCAAACCCAACACCCTCTAAGATCCCTTAAGAGAAACTACGGGATTGAGTTCCTAAGGTGGGACCGTGGCCTCACCCCCAAGGTGCCCGCAACTATGGTCTAAACGGGATGCATTTATTTGGGGAGGGTGTCTTGGTCATTTTCCCCCAAATTTATTATATATTTATTATATCATCTGAAATGAGTAGTTGCCAAAATTCTTGATATCCCAAATGACAACATGGAATTCCTAATGGGCCAAAGTAGAACTTTTACACCAAGGGACCACGAACGGCCAAGATCTAATAAGACAAGTCTTTCCAAATCTAGAGCTGGTCATTTTTGGTGTAGAAGCTTTCAGTTAAAGACTGGGTATACCGACCCAATCCTCTGTAAGGTAACTGTAACTGATTAATCAGCAATATTTATAATTATCAACAGGCATCGCTATAATTTGTAGCTCCATACTTTACAAGTTATCATTGTTTTCTAAATCAGTAGCGGTATCTGTTTCACTCTTTGTTTAAAAGATTTGAAGTGGAAATGCACACAGAATCAGTCCAGGAGCTCTTACCTTAATGAAGGAGCATGGAAGTGGAGCACCAACACGACCAACAGATGGATCATCATACTCAGAAAATGTCCCACCAGCACAAGTCTCAGTAAGTCCATACCCTTGGCCAATCGGAGCCCTGAAAAAACACATTGTTAGGTAAAATAAAGATTCCATCACAGGGGACAAACATAACAGGGCAGGAAAACGTTAATTTATAAATGGAGAAGGCATTTGTTAGAATATACTTCCAAAAGAACTCTTCCACACCATGCACCATCATCACCTCCAATTTCCACAACGAAACAAATTAAAGATTATAGTGAAGTTAGATTCAATAACAGGCTTATCGTGATCTACTTTTGACTAGCTTTCATTCAGCATCAGAGATCAACCAGAAATCCATAAATTCATTAAATTTGATCACACATTTGATGGCTACCAGTGTTTGCTTTAATTATATTAACAGAACTACATGTTACAGAAGTCTTTCTCTCATAAAAGATCCACTCTTGTAAACGAAAGAAAAGGCAAGAAAGGGTGCAATATGTCATTGGAGCATCCATTATTGTGAACAAAACATAAAATGGGAAGAATTGAATTAAGGTCATAGTGCTAAGGCAAACATCTATAGAAAACTATCAGTTCTCATATGTCAGTTTTTCGGTAAGTTTCACAATTGTCATAAAAGATCGTCTAGCATCCAAAAATAACAATAGGTCGGACTTAAATGATGAAATTGGTTGAATTGGGTTGAATTGTCTAACATATGACATTAAACTATAGTAGTTGTTTGACATCTCAAATTTTGAAAAGAAACTACAACAAATCAATGACAAGATATATGTAGATATACAACTTAAGATCAAGTTTTTTACATATCCCAAACTTGTAGTATTCTGCTACTGCAGAAACAGAGAGATAAAGATGGGCAAAAAACAAATCTTACTTAACAGCTGAAAAACAAGTTCAATTACAAGACACCAACAATGAGGGCTATTTAAAGAAAAAAAAATGCACTACGTGGGTCTATAGACATGGAGATAGTTTCCACTTTTTGTGCCTACTCCTAAAAATTAGAAACCCATGACATCTTAACCACCAAACCACTTCTAACACTTCCAATACTTGACCCATAAAACAAGGAGACCACTACTACATGTGCATCACACTTCATCACTCCCCCTAGATCCAAATTCGGATACACCAAGAAGAGATCTAAATTTCACAAACTTTGGATAAGAAACTGCTTTAGTCAAGCCATCAGCAACTTGTTCATTGGTTGAACAATACTTCATTGTGACCACACCTTCAGCAACAACGTCTCTGATGACGAAGCTCAATGTGCTTGGTCCTGCCATGGAAGACAGGATTCTTTGTCATTGAGATCGTTGCCTGGTTGTCACAGTAAATCTCTGTCGCGTGCCCTTGAACTTGTTGCAAGTTTTCCAGAATTCTCTTTATCCAAACAGCTTGACAAACAGTTGTTGTCGCGGCAATATACTCTGCTCCGGATGATGACATCGCTGTAGTAACTTGTTTCTTAAAACTCCATGAAACAACACCTGAACCAAGATTGAAAACATACCCACTTGTGCTTTTCCTGTCATCTACAAAACCAGCCCAATCACTGTCAGTAAAGCAACTAATTGAAAATTAGGAACTGGTTTATACCAAATCCCATAATTGTTGGTTGCTCGAATGTATCAAAGAATCCATTTGGCTGCTCCAAGATGATGCACAGAAGAATTATGCATGAATCTTGAGACTCAGCTGACAGGAAACATGATATCTGGACGAGTATGAGTTAAATACATCAACCCACCAACAATACTTCTGAAGAGCTTCTCACTTGTGTTCATGGGAGTAGAAACAGCCTTACAATTCAGCATATTATACTTCTTAAGCAAGTCTAAAGCATACTTCTCTTGTGAAATAACAATACAATTATCTGTTTGCTGAATTTGAAGACCAAGAAAATAATCCAATAACCCCAAATCTGTCATATCAAATTCATGCATCATGCTGCCTTTGAATTCTCTAACAAGAATATTAGAGGGACCTGTCCACATAAATGCAAACAATAAGCGCATCATTACCTTTCACTTTTACATACAAGGTGGGATCACTATTACTCCGGTGGAAGTCATTCTGATGGAGGTAAAAGTCAAGTCTACTATACCATGCTCTCAGTGCTTGCTTAAGACCGTAAAGAGCCTTCTTCAACTTATAAACTTTCTCCTCTTAGCCATTGATAACAAATCCTTGCGGCTGATCGACATATACATCTTCGTCCAAAGAGCCATTTAAAAATGCAGACTTAACATCAAATTGGAAGATATTCCATCTCATTTGAGCTGCTAAAGCCAAAATTATTCTAACAGTTTCAAATCTAGCAACGGGAGAAAAAGTTTCTAAATAATTAACTCCATACTTTTTTTTGTACATACCCTTTGACGGCCAACCTCGCCTTATATTTTTGCACACTTCCATCAGGATGCTACTTTACCTTGTAGACCCATTTCACACCAATATCATCCTTTCCTGGTGGCAAGTCCACAAGCTCCCATGTGTTGTTCTTTTCAATGGCGGTCATTTCCTCCTTCATGGAATTCTCCCACTCTTCTTTTCCACAAGCTTCATCATAATCTGCAGGTTCTGCAACCATAAGAGCAAAGGTAGATTCATAAATTTCTTGTAAAGACTGAAACTTCCTTAGTGGAGTTTCACTATTTTGGGATGATTCACCAATGCTGCTGTCCGGACTGCTAGAACCTCTAGAAGAAGACTGGACTGCTGTTGGACTCTGTATTGGAGAAATCTGAGGTGACACCGTATCCTCCTCTAACTGTACTGATTCTATTATTTTTTTTTTTTTTACCATTCCATTGCCATACACTGTTTTCATCAAAAATAACTTCTCGACAAATGATTAGCTTCTTGGTGATAGGATTATACAACCCATAACCTTTTGTTTCATCACTATAACCAACAAAAATACATTTCTCACTCTTCTTATCCAACTTAGCATGATCACTAGAGTCAAGGCATATGCAATACAACCAAAAATTTTCAAACCACATACATTGGGCTTGATTTTCCATCTTGCTTCATAAGGTGTCATATTCCTTACTGCCTTTGTTGGATATATATTGAGAAGATGGACTGATGTTGCCACTGTCTCAGCCTAGATATCATTTGGAAGTTTCTTCTCATTTAACATACTTCGTGCCATTTCCACAATCGTCTGATTCTTTCTTTCAGCAACGCCGTTCTGTTATGGAGTTTTTATTGTTGTCAGCTGCCTGCGGATGCCATTTTCCTTGCAAAAGAAACTGAACTCATCAGACAAAAATTCTCCCCCTCTATCTGTTCTGAGAGTTTTGATTATACAACCACTTTGTTTCTCTGCAAAAGCTTTCAATTCCTTAAATATTTCAAATGCCTCTGATTTTTGAACAAGAAAAAACACCCAATTCATGAGAGTAAAATCATCAGTAAATAATAGTAAATATTTACTCTTGTTCAAAGACAGTGTAGTCATTGGTCCACATATATCTGCATGAACCAATTCCAAAGGCATCTTGGCTCTCCAAGCTTTCCCAACCGGAAAGGGCAGACGATGTTGCTTTCCATAAACACAACTTTCGCAAACACTATCAACAGAAATAATAGATGGCAGCCGAGACACCATACTTTTCTGACACCATCAAAGGGCAGACGATGTGGCTCTCCAAGCTTGGAGAGTCAGAAATGTATGGTGTCTGGGCTGCCATCTATTATTTTTGTTGATAGAGTTTGTGAAAGTTGTGTTTATGGAAAGCAACACCGTCTGCCCCTTCCGGTTGGGAAAGCTTGGATAGCCAAGATGCCTTTGGAATTGGTTCATACAGATATTTGTGGACCAATGACCACATTGTTTATGAACAATAGTAAATATTTACTATTATTTACTGATGATTTTACTCGTATGAATTGGGTGTTTTTTCTTGTTCAGAAATCAGAGGCACTTGAAATATTTAAGGAATTGAAAGCTTTTGCAGAGAAACAAAGTGGTTGTATAATCAAAACTCTCAGAACAGATAGAGGGGGAGAATTTTTGTCTGATGAGTTCAGTTCTTTTTGCAAGGAAAATGGCATCCGCAGGGAGCTGACGACAATAAAAACTCCATAACAGAACGGCGTTGCTGAAAGAAAGAATCGGACGATTGTGGAAATGGCATGAAGTATGTTAAATGAGAAGAAACTTCCAAATGATATCTAGGCTGAGACAGTAGCAACATCAGTCCATCTTCTCAATATATATCCAACAAAGGCAGTAAGGAATATGACACCTTATGAAGCACGATGGAAAATCAAGCCCAATGTAAGTGGTTTGAAAATTTTTGGTTGTATTGCATATGCCTTGACTCTAGTGATCATGCTAAATTGGATAAGAAGAGTGAGAAATGTATTTTTGTTGGTTATAGTGATGAAACAAAAGGTTATGGGTTGTATAATCCTATCACCAAGAAGCTAATCATTCGTCGAGATGTTATTTTTGATGAAAACAGTATATGGCAATGGAATGGTAAAAAAAAAAGATATGACAGAATCAGTACAGTTAGAGGAGGATACGGTGTCACCTCAGATTTCTCCAATACAGAGTCCAACAGCAGTCCAGTCTTCTTCTAGAGGTTCTAGCAGTCCAAACAGCAGCAGTGGTGAATCATCCCAAAATAGTGAAACTCCACCAAGGAAGTTTCGGTCTTTACAAGAAATTTATGAATCTACCTTTGTTCTTATGGTTGCAGAACCTACAGGTTATGACGAAGCTTGTGGAAAAGAAGAGTGGGAGAATTCCATGAAGGAGGAAATGACCGCCATTGAAAAGAACAACACATGGGAGCTTGTGGACTTGCCACCAGGAAATGATGCTATTGGTGTGAAATGGGTCTACAGGGTAAAGTATCATCCTGATGGAAGTGTGCAAAAATATCAGGCGAGGTTGGCCGTCAAAGGATATGTACAAACGTATGGAGTTGATTATTTAGAAACTTTTCTCCCGTTGCTAGATTCGAAACTGTTCGAATAATTTTGGCTTTAACAGCTCAAATGAGATGGAATATCTTCCAATTTGATGTTAAGTCTGCATTTTTAAATGGCTCTTTGGGCGAAGATGTATATGTTGAACAGCCGCAAGGATTTGTTATCAATGGCAAAGAGGAGAATATTTATAAGTTGAAGAAGGCTCTTTATGGTCTTAAGCAAACACCGAGAGCATGGTCTAGTAGACTTGACTCCTACCTACATCAGAATGACTTTCACCGAAGTAAAAGTGATCCCACCTTATATGTAAAAGTGAAAGGTAATGATGTGCTTATTGTTTGCATTTATGTGGATGATATTATATACACGGGTTCCTCTAATATTCTTATTAGAGAATTCAAAGGCAGCCTGATGCATGAATTTGATATGACAGATTTGGGGTTGTTGCATTATTTTCTTGGTCTTCAAATTCAGCAAACAGATAATTTTATTTTTATTTCACAAGAGAAGTATGCTTTAGACTTGCTTAAGAAGTATAATATGCTGAATTGTAAGGTTGTTTCTACTCCCATGAACACAAGTGAGAAGTTGACCATGGATGATGGAACGGCAAAGGCTAGTGAGAAGCTCTTCAAAGTATTGTTGGTGGGTTGATGTATTTAACTTATACTTGTCCAGATATCATGTTTCCTGTCAGCTTAGTCTCAAGATTCATGCATAATCCTTTTGTGCATCATCTTGGAGCAGCCAAATGGATTCTTCGATACATCCGAGCAACCAGCAATTATGGGATTTGGTATAAACCAGTTCCTAATTTTCAATTAGTTGGTTTTACTGACAATGATTGGGCTGGTTTTGTAGATGACAGGAAAAGCACAAGTGGGTATGTTTTCAATCTTGGTTCAGGTGTTGCTTCATGGAGTTCTAAGAAACAAGCTACTACGGCGTTGTCATCATCCGAAGCAGAGTATATTGCCACGACAACAACTGTTTGTCAAGCCGTTTGGATGAAGAGAATTCTGGAAGACTTGAAACAAGTTCAAGGGTACGCGACAGAGATTTACTGTGACAACCAAGCAACGATCTCAATGACAAAGAATCCTGTCTTCCATTGGAGGACCAAGCACATTGAGCTTCGTCATCATTGCATCAGAGATGTTGTTGCTAAAGGTGTGATCACAATGAAGTATTGTTCAACCAATGAACAAGTTGCTGATGGCTTTACTAAAACACTTTCTTATCCAAAGTTTGTGAAATTTAGATCTCTTCTTGGTGTATCCAGATTTGCATCAAGGGGGAGTGATGAAGTGTGATGCACATGTAGTAGTGGTCTCCTTGTTTTATGGGTCAAGTATTGGAAGTGTTAGAAGTGGTTTGGTGGTTAAGTTGTCATGGGTTTCTATTTTTAGGTGTAGGCACAAAAAGTGGAAACTATCTCCACCTCTATAGACCCACGTAGTGCATTTTTTTTTCTTTAAATAGCCCTCATTGTTGGTGTCTTGTAATTGAACTTGTTTTTCAGCTATTAAGTAAGATTTGTTTTTTGCCCATCTTTATCTCTCTGTTTCTGCAGTAGCAGAATACTACAAGTTTTTTCTCAGCAATTGCAGAGAAACAAAATGAAGCAACATCCAAACATTTCTTCCAGTAGCAGTCATAATCAATTATATAAGTATTGAAAGAGGAATGGCATGCACAAGAATTTCATACATACAATCATTCATTCAAAGCCTTTAATAATTTTCCTCTGTTCAGTACTGAGTTTGCCTAGAGTATTATAGCATCACTGTGTTTCATGGAGATTTATCTTTTGATGGGAAACTTGTCACAGTTCAATTGTTTTATGTCAATTCTAGTCTCCTACTCAGGATTATTTGCTTCCATGACCATATTGCAGTGGCCTCAAATGGAGCGGTTCGGTAGTTGAGGGCTTGATTGGTTATGGTGTTCACAGTTGCAACACCACATCCCATGTTTGATTCCCATCAGCGAGCTACCCAAAGAAACACACAAATTTATGAGAGATTCTAACTAGAATCTGCAGCCCTTTTATGGTATTCCTCAAAAACAAGAAGCATGCCATTTTACATACTCAAAAGATGAGTGGAGGGACCTTCAGAGAGGTGGTGATTTTGTTCAATTAGAAACAGTGGATTCTTTTACTATACTTTTAACTTCTCATGTAGATCAATCAGTCCATTTGGAAGTGGTACTGGAGAAATTATTTTCATGGACAGGGCATTAATATTGGTATTGAGATCCGAAGGTGAACTTTTGGGTAATGATTGGTGAATGTTTTATTACATTTAAGGCAATAGATTACTCTCATGTAAGACCAGTGACAGACTTAAAATGGTTTACAAATGTCAAGGCACATGTTACACAATAATGCAAGTCAAAAGGTAAAAAAGAAAGATTCCTTAAACTCACCCAAGGCATATGTTTATAAACCTCTGCGTTTCTCCAGAAAGGGGAGCACCTCCAGAAAGCAAGAACCGGATGTGGCCTCCTAAAACTGCTCGAACCTTTCTAAAAACAACTATAGTCCATAGAAGTTTCTCTAGTCCCCATGCGCCAAACCAACTTCCATTTATTGCAGATAATCTACGACTATATGCAATGTCAAATAGAATCTTTGATATCCCACCTTTTGTGTCAACCTGTGAGAATTAGGAGAACCAATATGTCCAGTTGATCCAGTAATTCATAAAATCAGCAATAGAGCAAAAACAAACGAATTGAATTGTTGGAAGTTAGGAACAAAATAAACAATAGTGATAGATTGACTATGACTATCCAAAAATAACTCACCTTTTTCCTTACACCATCTCGAACACGATCCAGGATTGCCGGTACAGCAGTCATAAGTGTTGGCCCCAACGCAGAGGCATCGCCCTTTGTTCCCTTCTTGATCTTGTTTGATGTATCAGTTAGTGTAAGAGGTGATCCATATCCTATTGAACTTCCGGCTGCAACCATTATTGCCTACAAGTAGAAAGACATGATAGTAGATAGAGTAATAAGAAGATCTTAGAATTGAAAAGTATGATGTACACCACTAGTGTATGATATATAGTACTCCATGGGAGGATCCACCATCCATAATTGATGGTCAATTGTGGAGTTGAAGAAAGAAGCCAATCAGGTAATGTTAATATCCATCATCTGTCCCTGAGGAATGGATGGTGGATGCCACCATGGTGTACCATACACCACACATCACTGGACTGTCATACTTCTTGAAGAATTTGTACAGTCAAAAGCATCTGATTGCCATCATTAACTTAAAAATTGATTAAGAACTTGTAACCTAAGCTAATCTAGAGATGGGATAGAACTAATGTCAGGAAAAGATTGATACCTCAGCTGCCAATTCAAGTATATGAGCCAGAGGTAGGTATGCCAAATAAACATCTTTGCTGCCAAGGCCTGGAACAATGGTCATCACAGCAGCAACTGTTGCTAGGACATTTCCATGAGTCATCATGACTCCCTATAAATCCCCAAACATAAGAGGAAAAGGATTTGTCATTAGAAGCAGAGTCCATCATAGTAAAAAAAACTCAATCAGTTGACTGGGAAAATGAAAGGATTAACAATTCGACAAGTAAGCTTTCGGTTATAAATAATGATGGACAGAGTAGAAGTTATTGTATTGAGTAATAAGTTAAATTTCTGTGACCAAGAAGAATGAGGTGAGGTTCAAAGTTTGTTAATATCACACACGCACAAATGCATCCCCCAATACACGCACGCACACACGTACACACACACACTCACACAACACACACGCACCCACACCCTCCCACCCACACAGAGAGAGAGAGAGAGAGAGAGAGAGAGAGAGATGGAGACACAGACACATGCACGCACGCAGACACACACACAGAGTAGAAAATCATAAAAAGAAAGGCAGTATTATCAGCTTTAAATGCACAAGCTATAGTAACAACTGATTGCTGATATCATGGTTAAGTTGAAATTCAAGGAAGAAGTCTATATAGAATTCAGTTCCAACGATAGGGATGAGCACTAAACAAATGAAATTGTTGATAATCAGTGCGAAACCTAAATGAATAAGAATTGAACTCCATTAGCAATTCACATCTTTCTGTCAAAGTAAAACTGATTTTGAACGAACCTTTGGCAAACCAGTACTACCACTTGTATACATTATTACTGCAACATCAGCAGAGACTGGTAACTCTGCATCAATGGGATTCTCTCGGCCTAATTTTTCTACATCAAGAAAGGATGTAACAGCCCAACTAGAACTATTCCCAGGCAAGGCAACGTCAGCTGAGAAGGCTCCATCTTCTATGTAGACAACACGCTTAACTGTGTCAAGTTGTCCACTTATATCAATTATCTTTTTAAGCTCTTTGTGTCCACATATTACTGTTGAAACCTCCGTCTGACAAATTGGAACACATTACATAATTATGGAAACAGTAACATCACGGGATACAGAGCTTAATAAAAATAGTTGCATATGGATAGATATGTGTAAACGTGTGATATATTAAAAGAAGGCTCATGAAAAACGAGAAAAATTTCAAGTAAGTGTTTAGATCTAGTGAAACTCAATTTCTATCAAATCCAAATTTATTCGTTGTGACTGGATGGTAATAATTTTGACTGATATTCCAAAAGAGCTCAACTAATAATTCATAATCTAGTGACAAAGGAAAAAAATTATAAAACTACACCAAAGTGTGAACTATTTCACATTTTACCCATGTTTTTTAATCTAATTTCAAATAGACCATCATTCTTTTGATCAATTTTCAAAATAATCCATCAAATGACCCACCAAAATGGGTTTTGGATTATCAGCTTACACCTAAAGTAAATGTTAAATAGCTCAACTTTTACGTGTATTTTGATAAATTTCCCAACAAAGAACGACTAAAAGAGTAAATATACACAGTGCATCTAATTCTCTGCGAAGTTAGCCTTTGTGCCAAGGTGTGCTCAGAAAAATGAAGTTCATCCTTAAGAGCATTAAGGGCTAGCAACATTAAAATTGAATTGTTTAAGGAAGTGTCCAATAACAACATCAGGAATTCTATACCTAAAATTTTTTTATAACTTATTGGCATCGCATATAAGAGAGTTCAGATAATCAACACGAACCCCTCATCCAGCTAGTCATTTTCAATGGATACTCTTAAGATATTCGGCACATGGGTATCACGGTCATTGTGTCATGTTGGAGTAGTTACCTTGCTGTGTATAATAAGCATCATATTTACTACTTACATATTGTAAGAAAATTTAGGTGAACAAGTATCTTGCAGAAATGTGCAAATATAATCATAACTAGGGTAACAAAAAAGATGAAACTGCCCTGTATTTAACCATCAACTATAACCTCAAAATTTGATATTGTTAGGCATTTTGTACTAGAACCCTGAAAAAAAGATACACCAATAGAAAAAACAGAGAGGGAGAGAGAGAGAGAGAGAGAGAAAGAGAGAGGGAGGGAGGATAAGCAGCATATGCAACACAAAGTAAGCAACTCCCATGTAAAACTTAGATACAAAGAGATGCTAGGACCTCATTTAGTGAATGGGCAAGAGCCTCCTCCCCCAGTGAAGCATAGATAGTGACGACTGTGACGTTGCGTCTGAAGCACCCCTGTTCCAAGAAAACCAAATATCGTCATTATCAAACAGGTAGAATCATAAATAGCAGAGACAAAAAACCAAATCTTGCAAATGCATATTAGAAATGGCAATGGCAATATATATGTAACACACAACTCAAAAATGGAACAATATTTTCACTTTTAAATACGAAATTATGGGTGCAAGCCATTTAAATATTTTGAGACACATGATAAAAATTTTGACTAAATTTATATACTGCAAAGATATGAGCTTAAGGCACTAGGTTCATAAAAAGAAACAAAATAAGCATCAGTTTATTTTGAAGCATGTAAAATAAGCACCTGCAAGGCAATGAGCCACTCTGATTGTGTCTCAGCAAAGATTGCAGCACGCTCCTGCTTACCATGGCCAAGCTGTAGTAAACCAGACGAGAAGTTGCACACACGCTCAAAAGCTTCAGCATAGCTTAGCCATTCATAGCTACCCAAATGAAGCTTTTCAAAAGACCTGCCATCTTCACTGACTTCAGTCTCCCTTGCAATGAGCTTGCGAGACCCCAATAATCGCTTATTTGCATACTTTGTGCATGATTTCTCAAAGAGATCAGCTATTGTAGAAACTCCTTTCCCAATTGTTTCCACTGGAGAAGGAAAGCGGTAGTTCCGAATTGCATAACCAGGTTCTCCCCCAACATCAACAGGCAAACCCCTCTTCTTTTTCTTTCTCACATTTTCTAATGCAATAGAAAAAAGAAGAGGCACAAAGATACCAACAAGATATGGACTCATTGTATTTGCAAAAGCTGCCCTCTAACACGAAGGGAACTTAGCAGTCTATTTTCTAAAAGTAGATGGAGTTCAGTCCTTTACATGCAGACCTGTCAAGCAAAGAAAGTCATCCTAAGCCCAGCTTACAGAAATTTAACATTATCTGCGGCAGCACATCCATAAATTGAAAAGAAAAGGAAGACTAGATTCAGTTTCTAATATATCACTTTATTTTTGTACGGCACCATGTATATACACTTCCAAATATTTCATGATGTCAGCCAAGCAATAGGGGAGAGTTCAAAACATTGTTCTTTTCAAATTCCAACTTGATTGCCATGCCAAGCATAGCATTCAGCCAAACTAGATGCAGAGGGAAAATGGACCATAGAAAATACTCTAATGAGTGCACATCACTCACAATTCTTCTCTAATTACCATGCTTGCTAGGTCTTTTTCTGGTTTCTTTTCTTTTTCTTTTTCTTTTCCTTTACCATGAGGCTCACAACTATTAATGGCCAGGATTAATGCTCAGCAGTTAAACATATTTCAGAATAAAAAGCAAACCAACAACTGCAAAACTTACTCTACTCCAACTCAAAGTCCCAATCAGTAATAAGTAATAATATTGCATGATGCATATATAGATAGACAAGTGAGAAATTGCAACAGATTAAAGACATTCCATTATTTTTTAAAGAGTGAACCAAGGTAGGCCCATTGCCAAACTTACAATATCGAAGAAGAGGGCCAGTTCCAGGTTTATGAAAAAGGTGACCATTTCACGACCCTATTTAAAACACCCTACATTTTGTTCCATCTAGACACACCTGTCTCATAAAACTTAGCAAAATTCCATTAAAAAGTGCAACAAGGTAAGCCCATTGCCAAAATTAAGATATCGAAGAAGAGGGCCAGTTACAGGTTTATAAAAAAGGTTATAAAAAAGGTGACCATTTCATCTTCCCTACACTTTGTTCCACCTAGACACACCCGTCTCATAAAACTTAGCAAAAGTATCCACTTTCAGCCTAAACAGGTAATAAATGAGTCATCCAACTTCTGCTTTCCATGGAAAAAGAACTTCAGATTCCAGTTAATGTTTAGCTGAAAGGAAAACTTTCTATATAAATTACAATATATTGGGATCTGAAGTCACCACAGAAATCTTATATCTTGATAAAGGAATTTACCCTGTATTGGCATACAATATATATCTTGGACGTCATATTCTACAAACAGTTTGCACATAAGATTGCAATATTTAGTTCCACGTTAGCCATAGATAAATTCAAAAGGAACTCAAACCCAAAAACAGATGATAGGAATTTTTAACAGGCTTGTCAAACCTATCCACTTCAGAAAATCCAAAATAATTCGAAGTCATAGAAACGCTGCACTACAAGTTTTACATGTTGTCATGCATATGCAAAAAGGTGTAAAGTTTGTCATATTAACTTTGGAAATAGCTAAATTATCATATGGCATAGCCAAGAAGATATATAGGAATAGCCATTTTAAATTAAATCTAGTCACAAACAACGGATGTTGCCTATGGCGCAACTTCACGATCAATATGGAATTAGGAAAAAGGAACATGGTGTTGCATGATTTTAGGTACTGACTTATATTAGTATCAGAGACTTCTGGACCTCAAACACGCTTCACATTTATCTACAGTTTCAAGAGCCCCAAGTACCTATGAAATAGAAAAATAAATAATTAATTTTATTGAAGACCAATTTGGGTTGGTGAGAGAAAACAATCATAGATAGGTTTTCCTCAGATGAATATAAACTTTCTGTAAGCCATTCAAATGAAAGAAACCTCCATAGAATTGAAGACCAATTTGGGTTGGTGAGAGAAAACAATCATAGATAGGTTTTCCTCAGATGAATATAAACTTTCTGTAAGCCATTCAAATGAAAGAAACCTCCATAGATAAGGGAAAGTTCTAGGTTTACTGAACCATTAACTGATACGGCAAATCTCAATTTTGAAGAAGTTTCAAGTTAACGATTCCATCCTCAAGACATGGCAAGATGTTCAAGGATGTGCGTCTCCTCAAGAAAAGAAAATCTATTGCGTCCTAGTCACACGAAAATATTTCATGGGGTTTTCAAAAAGACATGACTTTTTTATATTTTAGTTCAAATTACAATCATTGCAGGTAATGACATGGGAGCCGGTTAATGAAAAATCAAGACTCACTTGAAAAATATATGTATAGATGAGTGACCACTTCAAAGTTGACGAGGCCAAAATTTGAGACAAAAGAACTACAAATAGTCTTAAAAACTGGGGCTCATATTCTGCCCATCCTCTTTATAGTTGAGACAATAATAAAAATGATAATATAGAAGGATACGTGTTATTGGCATGTGCATGGAAAATTAAGAGTCACCCACATTGTTATACATAATTTGAAATTTCAAGTAAGGCTAAAATGGAGCTAACAATATGCTTGCATCTAATTCTGGACCAAAAAAAAATGCTCCCTTGGAAATTCCTAATGAAAAAAATTGGCTCTTTTCCACTTCAACAAACAAACTCTAAGGTGCTTCCTTCTCACTTAAAGAGTAGAACAATGGAGACAGTTGTACCACCAGTAAAAGATGAAACGACAAAAGACCAGGAAACGCAGGTACTTTTTATAAAAGAAAACAAATCTAGCACAAAATCAAAGACTTGAGCAGGATTAATTCATTGAAGATAACCTGCGAAAGATCCATACAGTTTGATAAAGCTGATTATAAGATATTAACAATAAACAGAGTAAGAAATGGTCCAAATTTTTACACCATCAAAAAAGAAAAAATAGAGTAAGAAATGAAAGGAATGAGTTTTCAGCATAGGGTTGCTCAATATTACAGGGTGATTAACTCTACATTGAAAGATTTAGCATCAAAGAATTGGAGATATCAGATTTCACAGTAACAATAAAGCCTAAACATGCACAAATTATAAAGATATTTGATTCCTATATTACATTTTCATTTTTGCGAACATAAGGCCGCAATGGACAGACTGAGGGGATCCTAAAAGATAAAATGAGAAACATGCAGATACAAGGAAAAGGAACGAAGAAAAAGGATTTTGTGGTTCAAACTTCAAACCAAATAAATTCATATCTAGAAACTAGACTACTTATGAAGATCTTATAGGCGATTAAATAGGCATTAAAAGAACAACAACAACGGGGATCAAATGGAAACAAACCCGCTGTCATTAGATAAACAAATCGATCTTTTGGAAATCTCAAAATTCACAAGTAGAAACAGACCAGAAGAACAAGATGATAAATGAGGCACAAATGAAGTTAAGAAAGCAGAGATAGATAGAGAGAGATAAATGATGCCAAAGATAACGGAGCTATACACGCAGAAAGCAATCAGAGCTGAACAAATCGTCCATGGAGAAGCGATTATAGAGAGAGACAGAGTAAGAGAGAGAGAGGGATACCAGTTGTTGTCGTGTAAGGAGGCGGAGCTCCCAATGTGGAGACGAGAGAGTTAGAGAGAGAGAGCCAGCTGTGGTTTCAAATTCGCCGTTATCTTGGCTCCTCCATGCACAAACTACTTCGCCATCAATACTCTCTCTCTTCGCCATTTGCGCGCTCTCTCGTCGCCATTCTCTCTCCTCTCCCTCTCTTCACCATTCTCTCCCCTCTCTCTTCACCATTCTCTCCCTCCTCTCTCTCTTCGCCATTCTCTCCCTCCTCTCTCTCTTCGCCATTCTCTCCCTCCTCTCTCTCTCTTCGCCACTCTCTCTCTCTCTCTTCGCCACTCTCTCTCTCTCTTCGCCATTCTCTCTCTTCATGCTCTTTTTCGTCCGTTTTTTTGTTTATTTGCGGCTGTGAACGCAAACAACGGGAAGCATATACTTACTGCTTTATAACGAAGTTACATAAAACTAAGACTCTTTCGATTTTGTGGTTGCGATGCTTCACGAAGAGAGAGAAAAACAAAAACGCAGATTTCTTATTGGGAATTTGTTACATACTTTATATTAAGGCCGTTTTCTTTTGTCACGAAAATATCATGGTTACTCCCATTATTCTTATTCTTAGCCAGATGTAAAATTGGGCTCCACTAGATGTAAAATTGGGTGGCAAGAAGCGTGTATTAGCCGTTGGATATGAAATCAGGCAACTAGAAACGTATTAGAAAATTTTGGACAAGTTTTTTTTAGAATTTTTTTAGCATAATCCGAAGTAGGGTATTATTTTGGAAACAAATGACAAAAGAGAGAAAAATGAGTATGAACTATGAAGTAGAATATAAAATTGAGCTTGTAAACTATGCTCCTATAGGAATATGTCGTATATTTACTCCCTCAAACATAACTTATTTGAAAGGAAAAGAATTTATCTAAAATTTTAAGAACCGCCTAAAAATACTAGATGATTATGTTCAAAGGAAAAAAAATATTGAAATTCGATTTTTATAACACTTACATCTCACCCTTCAAAAATTGGACAGTTTCTATTCAATCTTGAGGCTTTTTTTTTAATCATATAAAGAACACCATTTAGAAAATTATCTTGTTGCGTTTAACATATAGTTGAGGAGGTTACATCCCATAATTTTCGGTCCTAAAAAAATACTCCTAAATTAAATTTTACCCGAGCGAGTAAATAGGCAGTATGCTCCCTCGGGAGCATAAAACCTTTTCAATATAAAATTTAGGAGGTAAATCTCCTCTATTAAGGAAAAAGTATATATAGTCGAGGCCCTAAACAATAAAATGAGAGCTCGCCTCAAAATTTTCACTAGAAGAGGTTGTTTTGATGCTCAAATATCTTCAAATTGATCATCTCGGCATCAAGATGCATGGACATGAGAAAAAAATGGATTTCAAGTTTTGAAAATAGTGCATCTTGTAACGCATTTTTGGACCATCAATTTTCAAGATTTTCAAGTTTTCATATATCAGCTCGATCAATACTATTTTTGAAGCTTTCAATTTTATAATTAAAGATGAAAATATATTTTAAAGCTATCACGTAGACTTCCAGTATTGAAATCACATTTCTCGATACTATTTGAAAGTGTGCTTTACTTTGATTGTTTAAAGCCTCGGTTCTATCCCTTTAAAGAATCTTCATCATTCCAACCGCATAGATTTTTCTCAACTATTTACAGTCGGTTAAGGGTATGAATGTACATTTTTCTTAGAATTATATGATAAAGAGGGATAACGGTGAGCTAGGAAGTGATGATATATAATGTTATGACTCTCAATAACGCCGTCACTAAGATGAGAACAATGCAGCTTTCTCGTTGTGTACCTTTTTGCTTTCTTTCCTAATTAGGCTTTCTAATTTAAGGAATTTTTATTGTGCTTTTATTTCATAAAGGAAATAGCATTATATAGAGCCCAGGCTCTAAACAATCAAATTAGAGCCCATCTGGTTGTTTTGATGTCTAAATATCCTCAAATTGATAATCTCGGTATCAAGATGCATGGATATAAAAAAAAAAATAGATTTCAAGTTTTGGAAATAGTGTATCTTTTAACGCTTTTTTTTACCGTCAATTTTCAAGATTTTCAAGCTTTCATAGATCTGCTTGAGCTACACTATTTTTTAAGCTTAAAATTTTATAATTAAAGATGAAAATATATTTTAAGGCTATCACAAAGATTTCCAGTATTGAAACCAAATATCTTGATACTATTTGAAGATGTGCTTTACTTTGATTGTTTAGAGCCTTGATTCTATACAAACCGCACCGTTTCAAAAATTTCATTGCTCATTTTAAAAAAGTCATAGAATGAGCCGTGTTGGGAACAATGAATCAAACTTTCAAGATAGGGAATGTATATATTATTTTTCCCTTTATCAAGAGAAAAAAATCAACACTAGGGATTGGATATTATGTGATAGAAAAGTTGTTCCAGAGTCGGCGGGTGTAAAAGTCTGTCGACTCACCGGCGTCTATTTTTAACATGGACGTTCTAAAAAACCCACCGTTCTAAAATAAATATAGACAGTGTCTAAAAAATCACATTTTAAATGTTGATTTATTTTTATTTTTTTATATTCATGATCATCTTTGCCTAAATCATGAATACCTAAAAATTTGGATTAAAAAACCATGTCTAGGATAGATTTGAGAGGGAACGCATATGTACAATGTGAGTCACCTGACTCATAGAAACCCCATCCTTCATAAATACATGTATAAGGCCTTGGCTCTTCATTTGATTATATTTTTAAATCTCGTATTAAAATGTCATTTGCTTCTTTTCAAATTCGTTTTTCAGTTACAATATGGATTTCTTAATTGCTTTTAAAATAGGGGTGTGGTTTTTATAAGGTTGCAACCTTAAATAATCCAATGAAGGTGCACTTCTAAATTTTATCATAACACGTAACTTTGGTGTAAAGAAATTCTTAAAATTATTTGAAATCTATTTTTATATCTAATTATAAAATTTTAAACTCTAAAAATGGTTAAAATTAAGTAGATCTTTAAACATATGAAAATCTTGAAAATTGACGATCTTAATAATGTGTTGCAAGATGCATTATTTGTGGTAATATATA